TATGTATTTTTATCTCTTTTAAATTCAATGAAATGTTCCTTTGTATTTATCTGTTTATTTATATTTTTGATTGATGACAAAGAGGGAGAAGAGTATATACGATTTTGATATACTTGTTTACCTTATTATCCCAAACATTTATGATTCTGATAACTCTTTCTGCATCTGAATTTGGGATCTTTGATAAAAGATCACCAATGATTCTAAGGAAACCCCTGTTAGTTAATTAGGCTTTTTAAAAGTTTAGTTGTTTAGTTAACTTAGATTTCCAGATTCTAGCATCAATCAGGCTTTCCAAAAAGAAGAAATTGTGATATAGTTTTTAAACCAAGCGTTAAATCAGACTCTGATACAAGGAATGAAGAGCTTTTAATCGAGCTCTACTACAAGTTTAACCAAGACTCTGATACAAAATAGAAATCTGATAATCTGACTTTCTAGTACAACACTTTGATACATGAAGTATAAATCAAAAGAGATTTCAACCAAACCTTCTCGTACAGGGAAATTATTACTTTCATGCTGATTGAAATGTTTTATATATTAAAAATATTTCAAGTCTTAAACTCATGGGGGCTTGCAAACCTAACTCTAAAAAATTAAGTTGAGAAATATGTTTTAATAGTATAAAACTCAGGGGGAGCTTACAAACCTCGCTCTGATATGTTTTTAAATGATTAAATCAAGTGCAAATTGTTCATCAAAATATATGATTTTGTCATCATAAAAAAGGGAGAGATTGTAAGAACAAGTTTTGGTTATGCATCTGACCATATGTTTTGATGATAACAATGCATTGATTTATATAGAACAGTTTTGTACCCTAATGATTTTTTAAGTTTGCAGATACTAAATATAAGTTCTGACTCTAAAGAAGTGACGTGTGACGTCACCAATTTCTGAACCTAGTGCACTATGACTCTGATAAATGTGTTCTAGAAGAGAATCAAGCTCTAGACCACTACTCAATGCTTCTGAAGATCATTCATCTAAAGCTTTGTGACTATAAGAAGCATCTGAAGTTGTCAAGCTCTGAAGTCTTGCACTCAACAACTCTGAAAAATTGTGTCACCGAACTCTGAAGACCAGGTATTGATTAAAAATTAGATCAAAGCCTATGAAGACCAAATTTCTGAAGATTCTCTCATACAGACTCTGAACCTTCATCTATGCATGCTTTAATATATATATATATATATATATATATTATAAGCCCCTGAAAAAAGGGCTTTACGTGAGAAATAGTACATAGTACGAGATTAAATATTCTTTCTACTATACTGATTTTGTGGGGGAAAGAATTGTACTATCATACTATTGTGTCTTCCATTTTCCATAGACCGTTATGCAAGGATACAACTGCATTTGTAATTTCCTATTCTACCCTCCAACAGATCTTTTTGTGCCTATATAAAGGAGACATTGAAGAATGGAAAAGAAGCCAACTTTGAGAATATCATTTACGTGAACATTGCATACAGTGAATATTTTTTAAAGAGGAACTCAAACACATACCTAATGTTCAATTTTGCATAGAAATTAGTGTGAAATTCTTTGTACTTAACTTGTGTAATTTGATTTTTTGAAGCAACTTGTAAACACATTTTGTATTTCAATCTTGTGATTGTATTTCCTTGAGTGACTAGAGTTTAGTTAGAATTACTCAAGAAGGAATTGATAATTAGTCTTTGTGGTTCTAATCAACACAACCTTACAAAACTGGTTGGTAAGGTGAAGGGTGTCACTCTATATAAACTATTAGAATGCTCTATCTCCAACCAATGTGGGACTTTAGGATCTTCCTAATACACCCCCTCACGCCCAACACTCTTTTTTGGGCTTGGTGCGTGGATTTAAACGGTGGGCTGCCCAAGGTCCGATCGATAGGCTCTGATACCATATTAGAGTTTGGCCTAACACAACCTTACAAAACCGGTTGGTAAGGTGAGGGGTGCCACTCTATATAAACTATTAGAATGCTCTATCTCTAACCAATGTGGAACTTTAGGATCTTCCTAATACATCCCCTCACGCCCAACACTCTTTTTGGGCTTGGTGCGTGAATTTAAACGGTGGGCTGCCCAAGGTCCGATCGATAGGCTCTGATACCATATTATAGTTTGGCCTAACACAACCTTACAAAACTGGTTTTGTAAGGTTGTGTTAGGTCAAACTCTAATATTGATAAGGCGAAATCACTTTGGCGGATGGACTGAAGGTGGCTTCGTTAATACTGAACCAGGATAAAAATAATTGTTTTTTCATTATTTTTATTCTTTATTTTCTCTTTGTTGCGTTGAGTAGAAAAATATTTCATTTTTAGAAATTCAATTCAAACCCCCTTTCTTGTGTTTATCTTCACCTTCAACAGCTGCAGGAAATGAAAGGCAGAAGAGCAAAACAATTAAATTGTTAAACTGAGAAAAAGAAGACTTGGAAAAAGGAAGAAGATTATTCTTTCCCTAAAAGAATAACTATGTTCTGGAAGGGAAAAAGTTTTACCAAATACATCTAATCACTCACACGCAACACTTAAAAATTTCTGATTACCAAAAACCGTAATGATGATATATATGAAAAGACTTTTTGAAGTATGGTGCATTAAATGCATGATTTCTTAAAAGTACGAAAACATGTTTCAACTATTTGTCTTAAAAATAATCAGGGATTAGTCGGCATCTAAGGTTGTAATATCAAGCCCCTGTCTTACTACACAATGACAAAAGCTTGGGGGAACTATTCTGACCAGGTCAAGTTGACCTCGAATAGATTTATGTTAATTATAGAAATCTCGACCAACAGTCAGATAAAGGTTCCAATTTCATCTAAAATTTTCTTAAGATGTTATGAGTATCATCCTAACGATCATTAAAAAATCTCAATTGTAAAGCATGTAATGACTTTCCACAATTTACTTCTAACTAATAGCAAGTTAGTATTACATCTCTATTATAAATAAAGGCGATGCCAAAATCATGTAACAAATTTCAAATGCAATTTCATTTCACGCTTCTTTTTCATATATTGACTTGAGCGTTGAAGTGTTAACTTTGCGGGACTCCCAACTCCACTGCGTTGGAAGTAGGGTTGGCAATGAGCCGAACCAACTCGAAAATAGTTCAAAATTCAGTTTGACAATTAAATCGTTGAACTAGGTTCATGAACCAAATGAGTTGAATATGAACGAAAAATTAAGTTCGTTAACTAAATGAGCTGAACTTGAACTATACATAGTTCGACTCGTTAGGTTCATGAGTCAACTCGATTACATATGAGAAGAATTATACTGTCTTTAAGATTAGGTTTAAATATTTACTCCAAATCTTAGACAAATTTAATCTTCAATTTAATAGTTTTTTAATTAGAATCTCAAATGTATCTCTTGAAATTTGTGTAGGTTTTGAATTAGTAAATTTTAGAGATAAAGTTAAATTTCAATATGATAACTTTTATTTTATTTTAATATTTTATTTTAAAAAAAAATATTAATTTAAAATGTCAAATATACTAAAAAAAATAGCTTTTAAGTCCGTGAACCATGTGAGCTGAACCTAATGAGATAAATCTAACGAGTTGAACCGAATTGTTCGTGAACTTATAACGAGTCGAGTTTGAGCTGGAAAAAAAAGTTCATGTCGAACTCGAGCCGAGATATGAGCTGAACCAATTCTTAACGAGTCGAGCCGAGCTGAGATGAGTTTGACTCGACTCGACTCGACTCATTTCCAACCCTAGTTGGAAGTCATAATCCGTCATCACATTCATTCACCTTCTCATTTTTGGTTCCCAGACGGAACAAAAACCACATTCAACAATAATCTGGAGTTACACTTTTGTACTCAACATTTATTTTTCCACAAGAAAAACCAGATTCTAACAACGAGGAAGAAAATACATGTACATTATCTTAAATTTCAACTTATTTTACTTCTTTTGATGTGAAAAAACATAAGAATGTTGTTTTGAGGTACAAAACTTGATTGAGAATGGAATGATGTTTTGGTAGCGTTTAAAGAAGAATGATGATATGATCGTGAATGAAAAATACATGTAAAATAGTGGTTTATTCAATTTTCCGTTAAATAAATCTGCACTTCTAAATTATTCACCAAATTGTGAAATAAATACAATAGTATAGGGGTTAATTCGGAGATACTCTTTCATACTAATTTTTAACAAAATAGGAGATGTGTGTTGATATGAATTAAAAGTGTGTATACTTTCAAAATGTTGGAAGGCCAAATTCAAATTTGATTAGGGTGAGAAAAACAAAACCGAGTTGAACATATAAAGTGTAAAAATTATCCCTCTATATATAATTTCCAAGATTGGTCCTCTAATAGACGTAGGCCTAAACACCTTAATAATAGTAAAAGTGTGTAGAATTATTAAACCAACTATACTAAATATATGTATGGCACTCAATATGTTCCTTTCTAATTCTGATTTTCTATCTTTTAGATTATACACTCCAAACAAATCCTACTTAGACTCTATAATCTAGAGAAGGACCCAAACATGTGACAACCTTGTACGATTTTAAGACTGTTATTTCTTCATGCAGAAAACAATAATAACAAGTTATCTTAAATTCACCAAACTTGTGGAGCCCAATTGAAAATGACACAACCAATATGAAACTTGACACTAAGGATGCACATGGCAACAACATTCTTCGATGCTTACCACTTGTTTATATGGTCCATCTCTGAATATTTTGTACTTTGTTGAAATCACACAAACATATGAGTTTTGGTGTCTCATGAAACCCTGTCTGTTGTTACAGATTAGAATATTTTTCATTTGCACTTTTTAGTTTTTACTTCCTTATAACTTAGAAGATTCTACACTTTTCTGCAACAAAAAGGGTTTTCTAAAGGTTGGTTTTTTTCATTGAATCTCTTACTTTAGAACCCTTTATTCAAATGGGGTTCTGAAATTTTTCATAGTGAAAAAGAAGAATAAGAAACCAGTTGGGTTGTTTGATTTGATTTGATGTGATGTTTGCAATGTCTTTGTTTTACCAATCACAAACATTATTGGGCTGTGTAAGTATTCTTAATCCTAATCTTAATCCTAGGTACTTGTGTTTGTGCAAATCAAGGTCATGGAAAGTTCTATCCACACCCCCACCATCTTCAGTTATATTGAATGCAGATGAAGGTGGGAGATTTTCAAAGAAGATTCATTCCTCAAATGATGTTTCTGTTAGGAATGATTTTGTTACTCCTTTTGGTTATCAAGGAACAACTGTTGGAATCATTGGAGGCATGTCTGTTGATGCAACTCTCAATTTTCTAAGAAAACTTGTGGAGTTGAGTTCACAAGATGGACAAAGCCCTATTCCTTTTTTGCTTTGTTCTGATCCAATTTTGAATAAGGAGCTTCTTTCCTATGAAAGGAGTTTGGAAAGTTTTAAACTTGATTCTCCTGATATTGTGAAAAGTCTTAGAAATAAAAGGGTTTTTCTTGAGAATTCCGGGGCTCGTTGCATAGTCATGCCTTGTAATGTTTCGCATTCTTGGTATGAACAAGTGTCTAATGGATGTTCTGTGCCTTTTCTTCATATGGCTGATTGTGTTGCTCAGGAACTTAAGGAAGCTAAGTTAAAGCCGCTTGAAGCTGGTAGTCCTTTGAGGATTGGAGTGCTTGCAACAAATGCAACTCTTGCAGCTGGTTTTTACAAAGAGAAGCTTCAAAATGAAGTAATTTCCTTCATCTCATTTATGACTTCTCAATTTCATATCTGTCTACTTTGTTGGGAACTTTGTTTCTGTTCGTTAGGACTGAAATTGCAATGAATATACAACTTGTTTTCAATTTCATATGTTTACTTTGTTGCATTGTTGTCAATGACGATAGCAGAAAATATTGGTTTCTTCAAATTTTACTATTATATAGTGGCGCAATAGCCGCTGTTTCACGACAGTTTGTGCTAAATATATAGCCTATATGCAAAAGCACGCTATGCTGCTGCTAATGCTGTTATTTGACAAATTCTTTGTACTAAATACAGTATAACGGAGCAATAGCATTTAGTTCAAATTCTGTTACGGCTATAGCAGTTATTTGAGAACACTTGAGAACTTCATTTCAGTCCAATAGCACTACTACATCTGTGGACTATAATGAGCTACCTGTTTTCGTTTGTGAACATGGATGTGACTTTCGAGTATGTATATATGCACTAGTTGTTTTAGACCTTCCAAATTCTAACATGTTCTTCATATGTACTAGTTGTTTTCTACTTTTTCTGCAAATACTGCAATGCTTAGATGTTAGAAGTAAGATCATGTTGAAAATGTGTTGACAAGCAAATGAGATGTGGATGTGTTCAAATTGTTTGCTTATATTCAGGGTTTTGAGGTTATCCTGCCTGATAGAGCCACTATGGAGCATACAGTGATACCTGCGACTGAAGCTTTGAGTCGAAAAGACATGGAAGGGGCATGCAATCTTTTGAGAATTGCACTTCAAGTTCTTTTGGTGAGGGCAGTTAATTTTGTTATACTTGCTTCTGATGAAATGCGGGATGTCTTACCCCACGATGATCCTCTTCTCAAGAAATGTATTGATCCAATGGAAGTATTAGCTCGGTCAACTATCAAATGGGTAAGATCTTCGGGAGAAAATACGTGAAAAACAATAGAAAACTTTTGAATTCACCGATACTGTAACAAGCCAAATATGCATGTGTTTTGTTTAAGTAGCATGTAGTTCTTCTGTATTCATGTTCAAATCAATTTTGTTGAGATTAAAGAATTTCCCATCTTATCTATTCAAATTTCACAAAGGGAATCTTGGAATCCGTGACTCGCTTTATGACTGTCAAACTTAGTCTAGATTATGTGTATACTTTTTTTTTTTTGTCGGTGGATGAAGTGGTAATAACCACTAGAAACTCACACACACACAACCTCGAGTACCAGGATGCGAACCCTCGTAATGACGCCCAACCTAGCAATGTCAGTTTTTGCCATTTGAGCTAGGAATTGCGGACTAAGTGTGTACTTCTTAACTATACGCTAACTAGCGAAAACATACATTTTTGTCCTCGGAGACGAGTGCAAAACTACATTAGCCCATATATACGACATACACGTATTTAACTTTCACTGTTAACTACAGGACCTGAAATTACCCAACTGCATCACCAAGTTTTAAAACAGGTTATCGTGTTCGAGTGAGTCATGGATTGCTGATAATTCTATTGAACTTACCAGTAAAAAAATAAAAGGTCTATTGAACACTCACGCGGGAAATTGAATCAAATGCATTCAAATGATGCGCCATAATGCCAAAACATTTGAGAGTAACAAATTTACAAGGATTTACATATATATTTGCACGAAATATTGAAGCATATACCTTGCCAATAAGAAGAAAAAATCGAAACTAAAACTGAGACATAATCCTTAACAAACTATGTGGACTACTAGTGAAGTAAAACCCTTGAATCTTTCCCCTCAATTCTTGGAAATAAAACATAAGCAAGTCTCCACTAGTCCAGTTTGCTTAGGAATATGTTGTGCTGTGATACCAATACATCTTAAATCCAATCACCATAGATGCGGCTTACCCTTTGCAGTTTCTTTTCATCAATTATGCTTTTACAGGCATAGGGTCCATTCTTATGGAAAGAGGTAGTTGCCACAGCTGGGCTGGCAGAGGCAGTTGTAGCAGGAGTAGAACTAGAAGTTGGCATTATGTCGTTTTGTGCAGAAGTGTGGCCATCAGTTGTAGCAGCAGCAGCACTAGTTTGTATAATCATGCTTCCTGCATTCTCCTTTGTTCCTGGTTTTGCATTCTGCACTGTCCCTAGTTCTGCATTCACAAAGTATGAAGTCCAAATTTATAGATATAAGCTAGTTAAAATAAAGTCATATCAACTCTATAAGCTTCTTTTTTTCTTTCATAAACTATCGAAAAGAACTTATAGAAATAAGCTAAAAACCAACGTTGTCAATGGCAGATGGCAGTCCATGGCCGAGCGCCAAAAAACCTGACATACCGGCCACTTTTAGGTGCCGACATAGAATAATACGGCAGAAAACCCATAATGTCAGTCAATATTTACCATTGTCGCGAGCCCAAAAACCACCACTGATAACCGTCATGGCCGATATTCGACAACGCAGTTATAAACAACTTATAGATATGTCATCCGTTGTTATCATAAGCAAGGTTTCAAAAAACGATCTGGCTTAAGGTGACGGATACCAATACTATTATCCACCATTTTGTGATAATAAACAAATTGTGTTTAATTCACATCTTGACTACCGCAATCAGCGTCACAACACCTATACCGACCGAAAACACAACGTGGTCGTTTAAGGTGCCGATACCAATACCATTATCCACCATTTTGTGATTAAAAAAACAAATTGTCGTTAATTCAAACCTTGACGACCGCAATCAGCGTCGCAACACCTACAGACAGAAATCGCAACGCAATCGCTGTCTTATTTAAGACCTGTTCATAAGATTTTGCAAACAATCTCACAAGCATTTATGCTAATAGATAAGTTCAAATACATTATCAAACAAACAAGCCCAAAATTCATTAAGCAGATTATGAAAAACCCTTTTCCTTCATATACTAAGAAACGAACAAACAAGATCAAAACGTGACGTTAGAATAGTAAAAATCAAGTCTTGATACCTGGTTTTGCAGCAGAAGAAGAAACATTGATTCGAGAATGATGATGAGCATGATCATGATGATGATGAAGAGGAAGTGATGAATGAAGGTAACGACAAGTGTTTCCATAGGTACAGTGTCTGTTGTACAAGAACATTCTGCATAGTTTGGGGGCAGTTCTGAGCTCAGAGAAGCCATGAGCGTAGTTGCATTTGGATCCATGAACACAAAGACCTTGCATGAATCTTCTGCATAGTTCAGTTTTGATTCTCAAATTGGTTTCTTCTGAAATTCTAGGTTTCTTCAAATGCTGTGAAGATTCAGTGTACTCATTTTCCATCACTGAATTCAAAGCAATGCAATGAAATGCAACCAATGAATTGGAATTGGAATTGGAATTTGTAACGACACAAGGTGACCATGAAGTTCTTATATTATGGGATTTGGGCTTTTGTTTTAGGCCCATTTAGGATTTTTTATTATAATTTACTTTACTAATTTGACTTTTATTAATAATGTGAGAAAAAAGTTATAAGAATGGAATAAAAAAGGAGAATGAAATTAATACTTCTTTGACTTACATATAAAATAAAATATTTTTTTTTCTAAAATAACATATATTGTGGAAAATCTAGGGTAACTTAAAAATTTTCCTTTTATTTGATATTTTATATAAATAAATGAATATGGATAGGTATGGCAATAAGACGATTCGGGCGACTCAGGGGAGGTTTTTTTGGGGAGGGCTTTTCGGGAGAGGATTTTGCCTTCCCCGCACTTTAAGATGGAAATCGGTTTTTTCTTTTGCACTCATTTTTTTGGGGATTGAAATTTGAAATTATGAATTTTTTTTTAGTTTTTTTTTAATATTTTTTATAAGATAATAATTTTTATTATTATTTTAAGTATTTTTATAAATTAAAAAAAATTAATTTTGACATCTAAAATATTATTAAAGATTAAAACATAGTCAAAATTATTAAATTTTTAAACATATATATTTTAAATATGATTTTTGGAGGAAAGAAGTCATTCAAAATAACTTTAAAATTAAATAATTTTTTGAAAATTTGATATTAACAAAAAAGTTATAGTAAGATGATAAAATATCTAAAATAATATTTTGTGGAAAAACAAATTTTAATATTTATAAATTAAATTTTATGATATTTATAATAGATTAAATTTGTTAAAGAATGTTTTCTTTAGAATGAAATAAAAGCAAAAAAATTTGTACCAAAAGAAATAAAAGCAAAAATTCAAGTGTATTGTTCTAAATTTAAACCAAGTGCATCCGACTTTTGAGACACGTTTTTGTTTATATATTATTTTTTTAAAAAAATGCTAATGAGTGTTTGGTGGACATTTGTTAAGAGTTTAAAATAATATATTTTATTTGAAAAAATATTTATATTAAATATATTAAAAATTAAAATGAATGACTTTTTTAAAAATTAAAATATATGTTTTTTATAAAAGATTTATACTCAATGCAATGTTTTTTTTTTAATTTGGAATGCATAAAAAGTATCGCATTCTAAATAGAGTAATATTTATTAGTTATTTACAATACATATGTTGACATTAAAGTGGATATGTAGTTACAAACGTTGGTCCCAAACCTATTTTATCCAATTATGAAATTTGTCTTTCCATTTTAAAACCCTCGGTTTTGATCTTCCCTCCGTATTTTTTTAAACTAAAAAATGGTAATATGATATATTTTAAATCACATGAACATAAGATCTAAGATGACATGTAATGATCCTCACTTTTAAAATTACAAGATAACACAAAAAATTATTCTCATCTTAAAAAGTTATTGACCAATATATGAAACAAATAAATTAAGAGGGATGAGAGTTGAAGGGTTATGTGTGACAAAATAAATAAGGTGGGATGAGAGTTGAAGTGTTGTGTGATTTGAATTAGAAGATTGTTGTTCTATTATAATTATTATAAAATCAAAATTGGTGTTGATCGATGATGGAGGATCTTGAGTCGGTGGCATTGATCTTTGATGCGGTTGTGTGGGATGGACCAGCAATGTTAACATTCTAACACCTAAGTCAGTTTAGAATTCAATATGAGTATAGTGAAAAATGAATATCAGAAAAGGATACATTGAATCTGATGTCTCATGACTTTATATGATGGATTAGCTTGATTGGGCTTACACTTGGTTGGGCCTTTGTTTTTGGTCTTAGGACGGTTCATAACAGTTGCCCTCAAGAGTTGTCTGGCGAAAACTATTCGGGGAAGTCTTCAATGTCATGATCGGATTCTAAAAATGACGTCCAACATCTAAGGGAAGCGAAAAAGTTTCGGATCCGTTATAAAATTAGTGTGAAACAAGCACATTAAATGTTTTTCCCATCACTAGGGTGTTTCACCATTTCCTCTAAATGTGTGGCTCTAGGTATTCAGGCTAGAGCATGGTTCCGCTATCTAGGATGCTCAAGAGCATTTGAGCCATTAATGCTGCTGACAAAAGAGTCGCTTTGTTACCCTTAGATATTCCTTCAACTTTTAATCTAGACTGTGGATTTGCTATTGAATTCCTTTTAAGAGTTTGGTTCCTGATCAACATCTATTTTTCTTCATTTGTCATTCAAAGCTTACCCCTCCTCCTGGGTTCATTCTTCTACTCACATGTTTCAGAAATTTTAACCTTTTTGTTGCTTCTTTGCTTGTGGTCATTCTTATCTTTTCATCCTATCTGAAGGTACATTATCATCTTCTCTCTGTGTGTCGTTATAGTTAACCCAAGAGAAGTACCCATAGATAATTCTTTTGAAGTCGCTTGTGGTCGTTCTTATCTTTTCATCCTATCTGAATGTACATTATCATCTTCTCTTTATATACCGTTATGGTTAACCTAAGAGATGTACCCATTGATAATTCTTTTGAGGTCGTTTGTGATGAGTTTTCATAGTTTAGAGTGGAGAATCCCAAAATCGTAGACCTCTTCGACGCACTGAACTTTCCTATCCAT